TTTAAATAATAGAACTAAAAAAGTCGTGATCAATGGTAAAGGTTCCTCCGGATCAGTAGTATCAACGGGGCGTTCCTCAGGGCTCGATTCTTGGCCCATTCCTGTTTTTAGTCTATATTAATGACATACCTTATCTTGTAGGTGACAATTACGATAAAGTATTATTTGCTGATGATACCTCTTTAATTTTCAAACTCAAACGAGAGTCAATTAATTGTGACTATATAAATAATGCTCCACCGACATTAGTACATTGGTTTAATGCCAACAATTTGCTTCTTAAATGGCAATAAGACAAAATGTATTAAATTTACAATATCTAGTGTTAAACATTCGAATACCAATGTGTTCTTAAACGGGAGGAGCTGAATCTTGTGGATACCACTGTTTTCCTTGGTATTACTATTGACGCGAAGCTTCAATGGGGCGCCCATATATCTAAATTAGCAGGCAGACTCTCTCAAAGTTCTGCAGCATATAAAGTCCCACGAATATTGAGACAGCTAGATTAGTTTATTTTAGTTACTTTCATAACATAATATCTTATGAATTTTGCTATGGGGTAATGCGACTGACATTGAAGCCATATTTGTTTTGCAAAAGAGAGGCTCTCTTTTGCAAAACAAATATGGCTCTCTTTTTACAGCCTATTTATAACTTAAATTATAAAGAGCCCTTAGAGAAAATTTTAAAGAAATAAACATATTAACTTTGGCATCATCATCATTTTTTTTTCATCATCATCATCATCATCATTACAGCCTTTCATAAGTCCACTGCTGAGCATAGGCCTCAACCAAGGAAAGCCACAAAGCACGGTCCTGAGCCACCTGCATCCATCGACTTCCTGCATGTCTTACCAGGTCGTCACTCCATCTAGTGAGGGGTCGCCCTACACTTCGCCTACCGGTACGAGGCTGCCACTCGAGAACCTATCTTCCCCATCGGTTGTCGGTTCTTCGAGCTATATGGCCGGCCCATTGCCACTTCAGCTTACTAATCCGTTGGGCTATGTCGGTTACTCTGGTTCTACTGCGGATATCCTCATTTCCAAGTTTATCACGCAGAGAAACCCCGAGCATAGCCCTCTCCATAGCTGTCTGAGCGACCTTGAGCTTCCACATACAGCCAGCAGTGAAGGACCACGTCTCAGATCCATAAGTCATCACTGGCAACACGCACTGGTTTTACAATTTCGTTTTAAGGTTTTGAGGTATGTCTAACGAGAAGATGTGTCGTAGTTTCCCGAACGCTGCCCAGCCGAGTTGAATCCGTCGATTGACCTCTCGGTCGAAGTTGGACTTACCTAGTCGGACTATTTGTCCCAGGTAAACATACTCTTCAACAACTTCGAGCTTAGTGCTCCCAACAACTAACGGCATAGGTGTGACATGGACGTTAAACATGATTTTTGTTTTGTCCATGTTCATCTTAAGACCTATCCGTTGGCAGACACTATTGAGGTCATTGAGCATAGTGCTTAGGTCCTTCAGCGATTCTGCCATAAGGACTATATCGTCGGCAAATCGAAGGTGAGTGATGTATTCGCCATTGATGTTAATACCGTATCCTTTCCAGTCCAGGAGCTTGAAAACGTCTTCCAATGCAGCGGTGAAGAGTTTCGGGGATATAACGTCACCCTGTCTTACACCTCTCTGCAATTGGATAGGTTTCGTACTCTGGTTTTGTACTCGGATAGCCATCGTAGCCCTACTGTACAAACACTTCAGCACTTCGATATACCGACAGTCAACTTGGCACCGCTGAAGGGACTGCAGCACCGCCCAAATTTCGACGGAATCAAAGGCTTTCTCATAGTCCACATACGCCAGACATAGTGGCAAATTGTACTCCTCTGACTTCTGTACAATTTGCCGAAGGGTGTGTATGTGGTCTATGGTATTAAAGCCTTTTCGGAAAACCTCTTGTTCGGGAGGCTGGAAGTCGTCAAGTCTGCGTGCGAGACGATTCGTAATGACTCTCGAAATCAGCACGTAGACGCGGCTCAGAAGGGTTCTTCAAGAGCGCATTGTCGCCTTTCTTGAAGAACAAGACCACCGCACTCAGCCAAGTTCTTGGCTACCAAGACTGCTTTTATTGGGCAGGATAATTATTTGACAATTAATTTGGAATCAGTTCAAACTCATTTAAATTAGTAAATGCGACAATAGAGGCAATCTCTAGCAATAATAACGAAGATTTTAATTAACTTTGAATGCAGCCCACAAATAAGTAACAAAAATTGTTTACACCTGGTGCATCAAAATATACAAGGCATGATGGGCAAAGAATTAGAAGTTGAATTGTTTTTAAATAGTAACAACATACATATCGTTTGTATTACTGAACATTGGCTAAAAGATTATAATTTCATGTTTAATTTCAGAAATCACCAGGTGGTCAGTTCCTTCAATAGAGAAAAAAGTTTACGTGGTGGCTCCTTAATACTAGCAGATAAATCATTATTATATAAAGAACGTAAGGATATAGTGAGCCTCTCTGTTGAGCGAACTGTAGAAATGGCTTGTGTCGAGCTCGAGCACCTCATTGTTGTAAGTGTTTACAGACCCCCATGTGCTACTTATGACTATTTTGAAAGGATTGTGGAAAAAGTTTTGCTCAAACTTAGTAAACAGAACAAGTCTGTTGTAATATGTGGAGACTTTAACATCAATCTCCTTGAAACTTCTTCCATTAGTATTAAGTTTAGCTCATTGTTTAAATCGTATAATCTTGTTAATTTATTCTTAGAACCAACACGTATTGCAGGGCCTAGCGCACTAGGTCGCAACCTGTATAGATAATATTTTTACAGATGTTAAGCCCTTGCATAAATCAATTATTCAAAATTTAAGTTCAGATCACTGTGGACAGTTGGTATCAATGCCTTACATACACAAGAAACAGAAAAATAAGAAAGTCGTGTTTGTTCCAATAAATGAACATCGCTTGGAGAGGTTTAGAAGTAATATAATAAAAAGACTTCCATCACTTTCATTTAAAAACAGTGCTAATTATTTGTATGGTACGTTATTTAAAATTATAACTCGTGAATTTAGTAGGATATTTACTTCTAAAACTTCCTCTTTTAACAGTCGCAAATCATTTAATGAATGGGCGACAGTAGGAATTTATAAGAGTAGGCGAAAGTTAAACGAGCTTTATAATGAAAGATCGTATAATAGTAGTGTTATATTTAGAGATTATGTAAAAACATATTCTAAAATATTTAAAAAAGTGTGCGCCACAGCTATATACTATAAATATATATATAGTATTATTTACTGATGATACTTCCTTGATTTTTAAACTTAAACGACAATCATTTAAATGTGACGAAGTGAATAATGCTATATCAAAATTAGTGTATTGGTTTAACTTTAACAATCTACATTTAAACGGAAATAAAACTAAATTTATTAAATTTACAACAACGAATGTTAAAAATCTGAGTACCAATGTGTTTTTAAATGGGGAAGAACTGAGCCTGTTGAATCCACTGTTTTTCTTGGCATCACTCTCGACGCAAAGCTTCAGTGGGGCCCCCATATATCCAAACCAGCAAGGAGACTAAGTTTTGCAGCCTATGCTGTAAAAAAGATTAGAGGTCTCACTAGTGTCGAGACAGCTAGATTAGTTTATTTCACTTATTTCCATAGCATAATGTCTTATGGGATTTTGCCATGGGGAAATGCAGCTGATTCAGAAACTATTTTTGTTTTACAGAAGAGGGCCATTAGAGCTATTTACAACCTAAAACCGAGAGAGTCTCTTAGAGATAAATATATTAACTTTGGCCTCTCAGTATATTTACGAAAATTTAATATATGTTCACAAAAACAAAGGTAGTTTTAGTAAAAAAAGTGATATACATTCTGTAAACATAAGGAACAAACACAAGCTAGTGATACCAGTTTTTCGACTCCACAGAATCAGTAATTCATTCTTGGGGCAATGTATACGCTATTACAACAAGGTCCCGGAAAGTGTACAGGCTCTCTCTATTAGCAAGTTTAAATATTTTGTTAAGTTGAAAACTGTATAAAAAGGGTTATTATAGTATAAATGAATACATGGTTGATAATAACCCCTGGGAATGAGGTGATCGCTTCCAAGCTGTTTCTAAAATAAATTTTGTACTAATATAGTTTGTACAACCATTATTGTAAAATTTGCTTTTAAAAAAAGTCCCGCTGGGTTTCTTGCTGGTTCTTCCCAGGACAGAGGTTTATTTCGAGCCAGTGGTAAAGTAAAAAATGACTTTCAATAAGAATTACACATGTGATCTATATTAACTTTTGCTCCACGCCTCCGGAGTAGTGCCACCATGGAGGACGGAATTAAAGAGCTTCTGAAGGACTTCAAGTACCGGTTTTCCACCCGCTTTCAAAAGCTCCGCTGTAATTCCATCCTCACCTGGGGCTCTGCCATTTTTAAAGTGCTGGAGAGCCATTCTAGTCTCGCTCAGACTGACGTCCGGGATATCTTCGGAATAGTGTCGGATAAGACTCACTCTTGGATCGTTACTCACACTTGCGTGTGGCTCTAACGATGACGTGTACAGCTGCCCATAGAACCTCTCAATCTCACTCAAAATATCAGGTGTCCCGGAAATGATGTTGCCACACTCAGTCTTCAGCTTTGACAGTTGTCTCTCTCTGGCAGAAAAATCTCTGGCAAAGGCTTTGGAGCCTTGGTTCCGCTCGATTGCTTCTTCAATACAAGCTGTATTGAAGTTGCGTAAGTCCCGTCGCATGCATTTGGAGATCTGTCTGTTCAGTTGCCTGTATGCTGTCAAATCTGATGAAGACTGTAGCTTCATCTCCCGTCTAACAGCCATGAGATTAAGAGTGTGATCGGAGAGTTTTTGTGTTCTTCTGCGGCGGGTCTTGCAAAACTTAGCTCCGACCGCATAGACAGTTTCCACAAACTTGTCAATATGTAAAGTTAAAATAGGTTATTTCAGATGTAATATACGAGAAAATTTCTAAAATACATACCTGTTTGCCAACAAAGAAATGCCGTCACCAGATAAACGTTTTTAGAAGCGAAGTAGACGGGCACGAAGCTAGCGAAGTCCATAGTCGTTTAATACGTAAATTCGCTGTAATGGGTGAAAAATTCAAGGTTAATGCATGGCATTTTTAAGGGTTCCGTACCTCAAAAGGAAAAAACGGAACCCTTATAGGATCACTTTGTTGTCTGTCTGTCTGTCTGTCAAGACCCATTTTCTCAGGAACGCGTGGAGGTATCGAGCTGAAATTCATATCAAATACTCAAATCTACTGTCCCTTGGAGCTGTGAAAAAATCAAACTTCTAAGCCAACGCAATCAAAAGATACAGCCGTTTATGCCGCAAATTTTCGACATTCGCAAGGGAATCAAAACCTACAGGGTACTTCCCGTGAACTCAGAATCTTAAAATTTGGTACGAAGCAACGTATTATAGAACAGATAAAGGAAAAATTACGAAAAGCATAAATTTTTAGTTACATAATATAATAAAAATATTTTTAATAATTTTATTTATTTTTTTTTTTTTTTTTTTTTTTTATTTATTTATTTAGAAAACCAACAGCTTTAAAAAAAAAAGATTACATCCGATTGAATTAGCTTAACATAAGCCTTATTACAGGTTTTCCTATGTTATCTATACATAATTAAAAAGAAAGAGCGACGCTTATCGGTGTGTGTGTGTGTGTGTGTGTGTGTGTGTTCAATACCTTAATTATAAATAACTATTAAAAAGTTTTTTGCATACTTCAGTTTTAAAGGTTTCTCTCTTTTTCGTAAAAATATCAATGTTTGCAAAAAATTGGTTATAAGTACAACACATCCGATTTATTGGTGAGTTTTTGCTATATTTTGTATGAAAGTGGCAGTTGGAGAACAATTTGGTATGTCTTGTTCGATATATGGGCGTTGAGAAGTTAATAAGTCCCAGTAAATACGAATTATCAAGTCGGCCGTGAATTAGGTCATACAGTGTCATTTGATCAAGCATTTTTCTTCTATCTTCTAATGAGAGGAATTTATGATATACACATCTTTCTTTGTATGCCTGATGTCGTTCTTTAATTTTGTAGTCCATGAACTTTAAAAATTTATTTTGTAATACTTCTATTTTGTTAATATATGTATGATATTGTGGACACCATATGTTGCTACCATATTCTAAGATACCGCGAACATAGGCATAGTATAATAATTTAATACAAGGTAAGTTTGAGAAGGGTTGACATGTACGTATTACGAATCCTAAGTTTCTGTATGCTTTATTTGTGATATAATCAATATGATTACTAAATGTAAGCTTGGAATCTAATAAAATGCCAAGGTCTCGGACTACCTGTACTTTTTGAATTGTTGTTCCATTCAATCTGTAAGTATATTCTACTGGTTTACTTTTGCGTGTGAATGTGCAAGTTTGACATTTTTTGACATTAACAGAGATACGATTATTTATGTAGTAATAGTCCAACCTCTTCAAATCTTCTTGAAGCTTATAACAATCCTCTAAATTTTTTATTTTAAAAAATATCTTTTTATCATCTGCATACAACATGAACGAGGAATGTTTAAAGCATGTATATATATCATATAGATAAGCGTTATATAGGAGGGGCCCTAAGTGAGACCCTTGTGGTACGCCAGATGTGATTTTTATAAAGTTTGATTTGTGTCCTCCTACAACTACTGCCTGAGAGCGATTTCTTAGGTAAGAATCAATCCATCTCAGAAGGTCCCCATGTATTCCAAGTATTTTTAACTTACGAAGCAAGATGACGTGATCCACGCGGTCAAAGGCTTTTTCGAAATCCGTGTAGATCACGTCAACCTGACCTCCGCCATCCATATGATGCATGGTCTCTGTGATAAAGTGTGTTAAGTTACTAATGGTTGATCTCCCTTTGAGGAAACCGTGCTGAAATTCTGGTAATCCCGACTTATGGTAGGGTAAATGTAATTAAAGACTAATTTTTCAAAGGTTTTCGCGAATATATTAAGTATAGATATGGGTCTATAATTTTCGACTTTAACACGTGATCCTCTTTTAAATATGGGTACTACATGAGCTTCTTTCCAGATGTACGGGAAATAACCTTCCTGAAGAGATCTATTGAATAAAATGTGAAGAGGCTCCGATAGTGACTTAGCGCATTTAGATATAAATATAGGTGGAATTTTATCACTGCCCGGTCCCTTTTTTAAGTCGACTTGCTGTAGCGCTTTAAAAACCTCTTCCTTAGAAACTCGAAAGCAATGTAGATGTTGGTTGTTGCTACTAGAAGGCATTGGTAATTCAACATTGGGATACGAATTAGCAGGTGGGTTAAAAACACTTTTGAAAAATGAGTTGAAGGCTTCTACAATTGCGGGGCCTTCGCTATACGTTATATTATTATACGAGATTCTATTTGGGTAAGAAGAAGTACTACCACGTTTTGATTTAATATAAGACCAAAAACATTTAGGGTTATTCAATATGGCTTGTTGAGTAGTCTCCAAATATTTGTAATAACACTGTTTACTATATACTGATGCACGCCTACGCAATAAAGAGAACATGTTGTAATCCGCTAAGTTATGAAATTTTTTCCAAATTTTGTGAGCTTTAGCTTTTTCCTTTAATATATTAATCAATGTTTTATTATACCATGGGGGCTTTTTTGTATTGTGAGATAGAGATGGTACACTTGGTACATATTTGTCTATACAATAATTTAATTGTTTGTAAAAGAAATCTACAGCTTCATCAATATGTCCAGTATATAAATGAGTGGCCCAGTCGATTTCACATAAATATGTGTTTATTTTAACAAAATCGGCTGAATTAAAATTATATTTATTAATAATAGAGCATTTAAGTGGTGGGATAGCCACATTTAAATCAAATTTTAAAGGAGGATGAAATGGATCTATCGTAGTTAAAGGTTTGTCACATAGTATTATTTCTGTATCTATATTAGAAAAAATTAAATCTAATGTGTTATTACAACTATTTTTAAAATAAGAGTATTGTCGCAATCCATGATAGGCAAGTTCGTTAATTAATTGCCCCCCTATTATTTGTAGCTCGGTAGAACCCTGTCTTAATATTGTAGGTTCACTTTCATTCCAGTGAATATTAGAGAGATTAAAATCACCCGCAATTATATAAAAGTCGCGCGAGTTAATTCTATTACAAAGCGATTCCAAAAACAATTTAATATCTCTAGCGTGAGTTTCGTCCGTACGACGATGCTTTGATGATTTACCCGGTATATAGGTAGTTATTAAATGCACATTTTGATCGGGCGGGGTATGAGGGGTATGAGGGGCATGGCGCGAGTAATCGTGTGCGCTTCGTGTTGTGAACGTATGACCCAGTACCGGTATTGTTATCCAGAGCGTCTCGATAGAAGCGCACTGCTGTTTCCACAATTCGTCAATAGTCGCACAAAGTGTACGACGAATTATGATCGCCACACCTCCACCTGATGATTTGCCTGTTTCTGATAGTACACGATCCTGCCTATACACAATATATCGATTATCACAGATCTCCCCATCTAAGATACCATCGTGAAACCAGGTTTCTGTTATAATAATTATGTCATAATCATTATTCAATATTTCTAAATAAAGCGAATGAAGTTTTGTACGTAAACCTCGTGCATTTTGGTAATAGACAGATATTGGTGTATTATCCATTGAGCAAATTATTATCATTAGTCCTTATTAATTTTAACATTGTGTATATTATATAAAATAATAAATATATATGCACATATATATAAATACATAAATAAACATATTTAAACTTAAGCATGTACCCATACATAACACATAATAATTTAGTTTGTATTAGCTGATAATGATTATGACTATTATAGAGTTTAATTAAATAGCAAAAAATAATAATTGCTTGAGCAAACATTGATATTTTTGGTACAATTTTTTGTACTTGTGAGTATAAATACGCCGACAGTATGCAAATAACTTGGGAACGATTTATGGATGCGTATAGTTTTATAAGTTGAGATAGAAAGGCTACAAGGTAATTTTGTGATGTGTAATATAAATCGATTGCTAATTGATTATGGTTGCAATTGGTAAATAGAAGAATGGTATTTGTGTTGTGTGTATGTGGTGTGTTAGTGTGTAGTGTGTGTTTGGTTTTTTTATACAATATTTTGAAATAAAATGACGTACCTTTTTGACAACAATATAACAGATTTACGCATTGCTTCAGTACCTTATAAAAATTGCTAAGTAAGTATATACTACCTAATAAAGTATAATTTATTTTGTAATTTATTTCAACTTTTTTAAGTCTATTTCTGAACTGACAATAATGTGTGGTGATGTATCGTTTTGGCGAACATATATTTTGCAGTTTTTTATCCAAACATACCTATAGCCTAGCTCGGTGGCTATCTCACGACACTTTTTGTATAACCTCTTGTTGTCTAGGGTTAAGTGCTCGTTAACAAATATTTTCTTGTGTTCACCTCCATGCCCGAGATCTCCAGTGGTGATGCCACGATGTTTTTTAACGCCAGCAATAAGATTATCCTTGTAAATACGGGAGCGCATTTTTATGATAATATTACGAGGTCGACCTTTAACGGGATTTTTAGCTTGCACTCTTGTGCAGCTTTCTATATCTCCGGCGCTCATCGCAACACCCACTTTTTCTGCGATGCGTAATACTAAACTGGTTAGATCTTCATTTTTACTTTCTGGTACTCCCACCATTTCTACATTCAATTGACGTGCCCACTGTTCTTGTCTTCGGTTTTCTATGGAAAGCTTATCTAATATCACTTGCATTTCCAAGATTTCACGACTTTGTATCTTAAGTTTTTCTTCGGAAGAAGTTGCGAGTTCTTGTAGGGTATCAATGCGTTTGGATGAGAATTCTAAGGAGATTTGCATTTCGGTGATTGTGGCAGCTGTGGCCTGTTGAGCTGAGTGTATAGCATTTAAAGTGTCCTTAATATTTACTTGGTCCTGAGAAAGACTGTCTGATATATATTTTAGATCACATAGTTGTTCTTTTAATGATGATATTTCTTCATATATTTTTTTAATGTTCT